AATTTGTGACACATCAACAATTTGTAAAACTAATAAGTGTACATTTACCAATTTACCGAACGGCATGCTGTGCTGGTTATAGCTGAGAGCTAAATGCATGCTGGGAAAGGCTCCGTCGCTACTGCCCATTCAAGAACAAGGAAAGAGAGATGGAGGACTAAGAAAGAGAAAGCAGAGATGCACCAGAGGAATTTGTGTACCAGGGAAGCCAAAGGGTCAGACATTGCTTCAAGAGGCACATCCACGAGGCCCGACATATGACGGTGGAGCGATATTAGAAAGGCAATAACATGACGGGACATGGTCTCGCTACAGACAGTTAAGGACACTGATTAAAACACTGGATTCAAGGTCACGTTATGTCTTGCTGGGGCAGAAATACTTCAGCCAAACTGCTATCCCAACATTATATCAACACAGACGTACAGTCGCTCTCTTTTCTAGAACAACAGACCTGCAGTCAGTTTATAGCGCTTATACAACTATCTTCGATTTTTTTTGTTTTGAAAAGAAAGTTGTTGGAATAACTTACGTATTTATTGTTTTTGTACTATGTTGCAGTTTGCACATTAAGAATTGTTTACATTTTACACTAGTTTAATGCATTGTGCTTCTTCCCTGATTGTATAATTGTGTGTCCAAAGAAACCCCATAGTAAATTAAACCTTCAGTTTATAAATGATGACGTTAAAATGTTTCACCATGAATATATAAAAAGACCCAGTCATGCAAAAAAGAAAGTCCTGTGATATACAGAGAAACCTCCAGATATAAAAACAATAATAAAAATACTGTGATGCAGATTTTTGATCATACCACCCAGCAATACTCCAACCACCTTTCCTTAAATGGTCAGCGCTGCAATACATGCGCATATCCAAAAACCTGTTGATCTCAAAGTGTTTCATAATGTTTTCCTTTCCACCCGAAATGTGATCTTTTCTTTTGGACATCTCTGCAGACTGTTGGCTAGTTGGTTTGATGATTTTTAGTAAATATTACTAATGTGGACTTAATTAAATTTGTCTACTGCAGCCATTTAAGGTTCTATGTTAACACAACTTGACCTGTTTAGTTCCTCCATGTGTAAAAGCTTAAATGGTTTGAGGCGACGGGTTTCCACGCAATTTTCTAGTAAAGTCAACAAGTTCGGGATAACAGTTCATCAGGAGGAATGTAAACGGCAGCAACAAAACAATTCTCTGGGCAGCTAATATGACCGGCATCTTAACATTGTTACGCATAATTATATGTCCTGCTGTGAATGTTTGTGTGTGTGTGTTCTATGTCTTAGTTCTAAGTGCAGCTCCCTGATGAGTGATTGAGGGCATCTGGATGAAGGTGTGGGTTTGACTATAAGCGCCTCCTTGCTCCGCCCTCGCTCTCTCTCACCTTCCTGGCACCAGACCCTGGTCTTCAGTTGGATTTGCAAAATTATGCAACATTATGCAATGTTTACATGTTTACGTGTCCGGTAATAAACTGTCACCTTTGCTTTTTTTGGATCTAACTTGGTGTTGTGTCCCTCCTTATGTTGCGACTTCCGAGCCGGTCGTAACAACATAAAGAATGTTACATCAGGGCAACGCTGTCCCAACCACCAAGCATCGTTTAAAGAGAGTCCGCCTCCTCTCATCGCACCGGAAGTCCTGCGTCCGCCCGCCAAGTGCATCTTGATCCGCGATGGAGCCAGGTCCCTGTCAAGATGTGGCCACAACAGTCCCCGGCCTCCCTTTGCTGGGTTCACCTGAAGTCTTATTTCATCCATCTGATTTTCCTCCAATTGATCAGGCAGCCAGGAGTAGGCTGCACTTTATCCAATCACCACGGCTGCTGCATCTGCATGCTCCTGAAAACATCTGGTTTTGTATAACTCAAACTGTTATCAAGTATGTAGTCACTTTTCTGGAGACGTACATTACTATGACTTTATTTTATTACTTGACAGTGAACAAAAACATTGACAAACTCTGGAAAATGTCTCCATACTATACCTGCGTCGACACCATAGTGTGTTATTTATCTGTTAATTGGTTTTAGTGTGCTTCTAACCAGCAGTCAGAAACACCTCTCTGCCTGCTGCTGAACTCGTTGCACGCTTCATTAAGTCAACATGAACAGCGAGCTGCAGTGTAGCGTGCAGACAGCTGCGTGGATGATCATGAGGGCGTAGCTGTTGCGTGAAACGTGCGAGTGAAGAACGTGTCTGATGTGCTTGTGGTCTAGACATTTCATTCACTACACTACACACACACCTGTACGATGTGTGCTTATCTAGCTTTAAATAAATCAAACTTCATAAATGATTTGCAGTTATACTGGAGTCATACAATTTCATCATCATTTGTGACTTAAAATGCTCAGATTGACATTTGAAAAGTGCACGAGTAAAATGCCTTATGCCCATATATGGGATGGGTATCGTTAGGATTTTATTGATACTACTATTCTTGTTGATACTCCTTATCGGTTTGGTTCTTTGAGTTATTACTCAATAACTGCATTTTAATATATTGTTTAAAAAAAGAAGATTAGTTGAGAACAGGATTAGAATTGATTTACATTTTTAAATACACCAAAATGTTCCAAAAGCAGCAACAGTAATATCTACAACAGTAAAGTCACGATATAAAGTCAACGATATCTCACAGGAAGCAAATCTAAAATATCAATAAGATAAATGATACCTCTGAGTGAAAGAATGAAGCACACAGACATAAACTCCTGCTTTGTCTCAGCCAGCAGAAAAGTTTATAGTCATTTTATAATACGTGGCAAACTAAAGCTAAAAAGTTGGTCGACTGATAGACGCCTTTTGTTTGAGCTTTTGTTTGAGCTTGTTTTGCCATTTGCCGAGTTAGCGCGCTGTGGTTGTGTAAATCATGGCGAGACTGTGGACAGAGCCGATCAACATATCTCTTTTGTACACATCGTGTTTATGCTCCTTGAACAGGTGTATTGATACAATATTGGCTTATTAGATGGGAAGGTTTTATTGCACTTATAGCAACGAGCGTATAGTTGTCATAGTTCACTTCACACAGACGGCTTGGGTAGAGGCTGCAGCGTGATGGTAAATTGCACCAAGTACCGATAACGGAACCAATAACGTCAGAGCTTATCAATACTGGGAATTGTGTAGGAATGAAGCATGAAGACAGTCGTCCTGATGGAACTAACGCTGAGCTTCATTTGACACTAGAGGTCGTCGGATTGATCGGTTTGGCTGATTGATCTGCGTCGATAGAAGACACTCCTCGGTGGAACTGGGCTCCGTTAGTAGTCACGCAGGGACAAACAGCATCGTTTTGCATGGAGGCTCCATACACACAATGAGGGCCACACTTGCTGAATTTATCTGTGTGCAAAATTGTGATAATGAACGTAAACAAGGAACATGGCTGTTGTTAATACTCACAGCTGTGCCGCAGGTAGGCAGGTTTGTAACGGGCTTATTACAGCTCTGCGAAAATTTCAACAAATATAACAAAACATTTTTTTATGACCAGAGAGAGATGACCAACCCTAGCTATCAAAATACGTTGAAAGAGATGTTTCCTTATATATATATATATATATATATATATATATATATTTGAGATGTTATCACATCCAGAGCTCAGTGTGCTCCCATACTGTCAGTACAACAGTAAACAGTCAGGGGGATGTATTTTGGGGTTGTACGGTGTTGACTGAGGATGGAAGGAGGTGATTGCTGCAGACGACGTGCGTCCCAGACTTGTATATTAACAGACTACTTAAATATCTCTGGGAAAAAGTAGTGTTTGTAGTTTTGTCAGGATCTTAAGGAGGCTGAATTAGACTTAACATTGTTCAGCCATGATGGATCCTATAAAGTTCATTCTTTTTACTCGCCCTATAGTCTTTTATCCCAACTGTAGTGATTCCATCAATGTGTGTTAAACAAACCTTTTGCTCTATTAGCACACATGACGACAGTCACGTTTCCACTGGGACGCACAGTATGACACTACAGCGCGATATGACTTGATATATTCATAAGCACCACATACTTTTCAACCCATGGAGTCCTTTGCCAAGAAAAAAATATAAAATCAAATATTTTAAAATCTTTTAAGACACAAAGTTTCTTTTCTTGTTTTTGAAAAAAGAAAGAAAGAAAAAAGCACAAGTTAATGAAGTGAGGATTCCTGCTCTGCTACATAATCTCCAAAAGGAGTATCAGAATGAAACCCCACAGAACACAAGCTAGCCTGTAGCAGCATATTACAATAATGTACGAATGCATTTTTGTAATATTCCTTCAACAGATCCATTTTGTTGTGAGAGGATTAGCCCGCAGTAATCCAGTTGGATGTAATCCACTACTTCCCGGCCTTTTCCTTCAAGGCCCGAGGCAGAAGGATATTCCCTCGACTGACAATTACAGATAATTACAGCGTCAGAGTGAAAGCTTTATTTAACAAGCTGTGTCCTAAATTGCCTATAATTGACGTGGTCATTTTATAAAATCATTGACGGCGTTTGACGACTCTTTCTGCTTTTCCAGATGTTTTGCGGGGCAGAAGACGTGACCCGCTTCTTCTGATTTACGACTTTAGAGAAAAGTGTCTCCAGGCCACTGGAGCACACAGGAACCCATACACTGAGCAGGAACATGTTGATTCAGCGATACATCACCGAAGCCTCAGGTTGATAGCGTCAGTTAAAGGTGCAAAAGCAAACGTTGGAGGTAAGTTAAATAATGAAAGTGGAATAGGGTGCCAATGATCACTGGGTTTGATTTATTTCAAATAACATAGCATGTCCTGACTCGTAGCCAATGGATTATTGGCAAAAATATTAATTCAGTATTTTAAGAGGTTGCTGAATAAATTCAGGTCAACAGATCATAGCATATATATATATATATATATATATATATATATATATATATATATATATATATATGTTTAAACTTCAGGAGGTGAGCAGAAAAAGAAAGTGTTGGTATGAAACATTTAAACTGACTGCAACCAAAACTTAAAATCCGTCAGAGAATCAAAAAACAAACATGAAATGTTCACAATTACAATTATGGAGCCGCTGTTGATTCATCCCTGTTACGTAGCCCATCATGTACCACCAAAGCCTCTGGAAATCCACTTCCTGGCCACGAACTGAACATTGATGAGCTGGAGCGTAAGGCAAAAAGCACATTGGCCTTGAATGACCTGCTGTCATTTTTTTCCCCACTATAGCTTTCAAATACATTTCTCGATTTGTTTTTATTACAATGAAAAAATATATATATCTATAAAATTTGACTCATACAATGAAGTAACCGTGTGGATTCAGTGCCTATTTCCCATATAGTCCTAAAAAAAAGGGGATTATAAGTACCATAGAATAAATGCCTGCTGGTTCATACACCTTATCAGAGCGTCTGCTGGTGCTGTATTCAACGTCCCATGATGGCTCTCTAAAGGTCTCTATGCTCCACAGACCCTTAATAGTGTTACACCCTGTCACAAGTACAAAAATAGACACAACAGTCAAAAGAACTTTTCCTCTTTCCTTTAGTTCTTTAATCTGATCTGGCTGAACGTGAGCAAACCAGAAGGTCCTTTGACTCGGATCCATAAAGACCAACTATAAAGACGCCCTGAAGAACCCTTCATTTCACACGCGTACCCGCCACACCGTAAGCCGCTGAATAGACGGAAAAAAACCCCTGAAATGTCCAGAATCAGAGACGCAGGGCTGGCATCAGCTTTGAGTTGTAGCTTAATCACAAACGTCTTGGCAGGCCGAGTTCCTCTGGAGGCAGAAATAACTTGACTGGCTGTAATGAAGTCAGACTATGTTCACTTTTTGAGAGAAGAAATAACACGCTCACCCTTTTTACAAATGATTATGAATACGTTTATTATTAAACAAGCCCTTGCTCTATTCAGTGCACTCTGGGGTTGCTGCTGCTGCGACACGTTCTCACTCCCAACTTGTCACATACGGTCGCTTGGTCACTTCCCCTTTAGTGTCATTTGTTAACATAGTATCTGTAGTCCGATAGACCTCAACACGGGGCTAACGTTGCGTTCATGACAGAAGATACGTTTATGTTACTACTTAGTTAAGTTTAGGAAACCAGACTTCTTGGTTGGGTTGAGGAAAAGATCACGGTTTTGGGTTCAAATAAGTACGTTTGTTACGCTGTGTTTCGTACATGACGTAGATTAAGGGGGGGGGGGGGGGGGTGGGGTATGTGGAGCTTCATAGTTTGACGTATAGGGCAACTGACTAAGCTTCTGTATTTGACAAGTTGGGAGTGCGAAAAGCCTTAAATAGTCATGGTTAAGATATTATATTTTTTAGTAGACCCCCCCCCCCCTGCCGCTCCAGCTTAAAGGAAAGCCACAGTATCTGTTTATTGCAATTGATCTCTGCCAGTTATGTTATTCTTGCCTCCAGAGTGGCTCGGGTCCGTGACGATGTCTGCGTCCCTAACAGTCAGCTCGCTGGCATAAATCCATAATTTGTCCTGAAGTGTTGCGTCCTCCAGCCGTCACATCATCTGAGTCCTCGGCATGGAGTCCTGCTGGTGTCCCGGGTACCAGTGAGCAAAATTGTTCATGTATCCTCCAGAGTGCACTGGCGCGCCTTTGGCGGCCATGCTGATGTCCCACAGAGAGCAGGGAGAAGAGGAGGACGCGGGTGGGGGGGCGAGGTGGTCTCCCTCAGGTCCACAGGGCCCATTCTTCATGATCTTCTTGTATTTGGACCGTTTGTTCTGGAACCATATTTTCACCTGAAGGACAAGCAAAGGGAAAGAGTTAATACTCATATCGGGGGACGCTGCGGTTACACGGTCAGCATTACAAACCCCGAGGCAACCGCGAGTGAGACTTTGAGAACAGCTTGAAACAAATTACATTTTTCGTCAACGAAGAATAACTTAATTATGTGAAAGACGGACGAATAAACAAGTTCAATTTAATATGGGCTGTGTATCGAATCTGACAATATGATACGCATCATGATACAGGTGTTACCAGGCAATATATTGCGAAATACAGATTTTTTTTCAAATCTAATTTCAGTCTTGGTGTCTTGGTTTACTTCACAACAATGGGATCTGCATTGGCGTTCATCACAGTGTGTTAATATCCAACACCTCAGCACTAGTATTGACTGAGTTGATCTTTTAACGTCCTGCTTGTATCTGGAAAATCACACAGTGTAGTTATTGATCGATAAAACCCCAAAACATCTTCTTCAGGAGTTGATTATCTGCGGGACCATGTCATTGTTACGCCGACGACACACAGATCTGTTTCTCTAACAAACCAAACAACCTGAATTTAACTGTCCTTCCTCCATGATTGCTTAGCTGCCCACAAACATTGCCTGTCTCTTATTTTTCTCCACTTAAACCAGGGTTGAGCTCACTTTCTTTGACAGTGGGACGTATACCGAAAAATATAAGGAACCAAACGATAGTGAATGCAAAGTATTCAACCTGTGACACAGCAACAGAAATCAGTGTTTCAAGACCAGAAAACATCTGCACACACTACTTAACAGTTTAACGTTAACATATATTAGAATACGTTTTGTCTGTATTTACTCTAGCATTTAAACTAGGACGTGCACTCAAGCCATGTTCTAGTTTATTATTTAAAAGTCACTGAGTGCTCGTTTAGAAACGGGCAGAGATGATTTTAATTGGAGCGGATAACTTTGCCACTGCAGTCGATCAGGTTATCGGGCCATTTCACTCAAATATCCATTCCGCCGCTTTAGAATCGCGGCACCGTCTCACCGGCCGCTCTAAATCGCTGACAGGTTAACTAGAACTATCCGTCCACCACATCACCCTTGTTCTTGCAGCCCAACCCAGGAAGTGAGCAGGTGTGTCAACCCAGCTTCCATGGAATAAAAAGTGAAATAAGCACTATTACAGGGAAGTTAACACGAAATAATGAGAGGCAACACCCTCAGTGAATATTAGGAAAAATACAATAAACGATGATTCACTGACTATACTGCGCCACACCAATCACAGACACACCTGCTACAGACGACGATGCAGTAAAGGAGCCTACAATTAGGTTCTAATGAGCTGCTGATTGTAAAACGTTCTAGCGTAACGAGTTGTAATATAATAGATAAAAAAACAGCATTAGTAGGTGTGCCTACAATAATATCTCTGTACCTGTGACTAACACAGACACCGCCTCTGTAGGAATGCTATAGGTTAGAATCTCAGAATACCATCGCATACATGATAAGAGTACACACACTGTGATTCCTCTAGACACACGGTTAGTTATTGTTGATTCCTTTGAACACACGAGGCAGCGGTCCCATCATGAGAATATTAAGTTAGGACAGACATAATTCTATGAGAACATAACAGAATATTGAGCAGTATATCACTTCAATCATTTCTCTGTGGTTAGAGACCGTTCAGTTGCATTGTTGACATAATTGCAGCGTTCTCAAGTTTCCTGCATGCTGGTAAATTGAGCATTAAATTACACAGCTACGCCTCTCGGGCAACCTGTCAGTTTAGCGGGAACAAAAATGAATCATAAATAATTACATGCAGTCAGCGAGTGATACTGTTGCGTCAAACTGTCTTTTGACTTCGCCGTGAAGGAAAAAGAAAGTGAACGCCCAAAGGGATTGGTGCTGCGCAGCCGGCGGCAGAAGAAGAAGAAGAAAAGAAAACACACTTGGCGCCAAAAGTGTTTTCTCCTCCGCGCTGAAAGCCCTTGAAATTATTACCCTGGGAGTTTTATAGGTATTTATGAAGACGGTTGAAGTGGTCTATGGAAGATATTTTATTCTATAAAAAAAAAAAATCGAATTTCAGACTGCTCTAATAGACTCTAAATATGTGGAAAAAAATGAGCCCTCTACGCCATCATCAAACGAAACTTGACATTTAATGCGATCTCTATTGTTCCAGTGTATCTGCTGACGTCAACCACAGCCGGTTAGGGTTTAGTATGGATGGTGGCAAATGCATCAAATGAAATCACCACTCCATAAAGAAGCAATGCCAGTGTAATTACACCACTTAATGCTTTTTTATTAAGAAATTAACTCGCGCTTTAAACACTCTCTCCAAGTTCTCCAATTTCTATATTTAGTAAATTGCACTCATATCCAAAAAGAGAGATCGTGAGCCCCTATTGTACAATAATCGACAGACACATTGTCATGCGTCAGCGCCTGCAGAGCGCTAATGAAACCCTTGAGTGAGCGCGCGGAGCGCTATGAGCCCGGGAGTCAATCAACAGCACGTTAAGCTAATGCAGCCTCAGTGACAGGATTTCTGCCGTAATTATTGGTTTCATATTCCAGCAGGAACACGGAGCCGACGGCTGCCCCGACGGCAGGGGCCAATGACACCGGCATTAGCGGAGGAGGGTGGCTGAGAGGCAGGCCAGGTGCCGCCATGTATGTGTGTGTGTGTGTGTGCGTTCTTGAATACTGGGCGAAAAACGGTTGCTGGGATTTTTTGAAATAGAAGGCGTCCATTTGGCGGGCGGTTTAAGCTGTATGGGCAATGTGTGTGTGTGTGTGTGTGTGAGAGAGAGAGATGGATAGAGATAGAGAGCGTTTCAAGGAAAAATGTTAGAACCGTGCTACGTGCCATTTCTCAGCAGCGTCTGGGAGCATTGGAGATTTAGATGGAAAGCGGTTGGCTGCCGGCCTAATGGCATGAAGGCAGGGTCGAGATGTGGCGCATGATCGCTATCTGCAAGTGTGTGTGTGTGTTTGAGTTTCCATTTGTATACGTGTATGAAAATGCACACAACATATGTCTGAGTAAATGCATGGTTGTGTGTGTGTGTCTCCATGCATGTGAGCAATGCGTGTATGTGCACCGTAGGCTACGAGCTCGTACAGCTACATATATGCACAGCGGGCTAATTACAGCGGACTGAGTGTTTCAACACAAGCTGTTCTGTGTCTCCGTCTGTTTGCTGTGACAATGTTTAATCATTTAAGCTCTAATGTTAAAGTTTAGTCTGGGTTCAGCACTAAATATACATAAATGAAACAATGCCGTGTAAAAATATGAAAGTATAACTGCTCCTGAGAAAAACAGATTAACGTAGCACTTAATTGGGTGGTGTGCAACAAGATTATTAAACAACCAAACTATTATTCGAGGTTAGACTTTCTAGCTTCCAACACCAACTTTGATGGCTCATCGGATGACTCTGCAAAATCTTTGATTATGACCAATTTTATTTTTCATTGAGAAAATGAAGGCGACCAGTAAAATTACAACTCAAACCGTCTCAAACGTCCCTCCCGGCTTTCCATGTCCCCAGAACAAGCGCACTCTGGCCAATGTAAGTCTATGGAGACAAAGCCGTCACGTGACGGACTTACTTCAAAAGCCCCGCGCTCTTCCTGGGGGCATGCATCAGCCGTGCCACCAAATCGGGCCAGGGCCCCCTTCCCTACTTCCTACCCTTCCTGCACCCAGACAACACACATCTTCGAACTCTACCTTTTCTTTTTTTTTGTTAATCAACTACAGTTTGGTGAGTGCATCATCTTGCATGGTTGTGATGTAAAATCTGTCCACAGACAGACAGACTTATTAATACCTGGCAAAGTACTCCAAACCACTTTTGTGGTACAGAAGGTGTTTCCAAGAAACAATATCAACGTCGCCGCTGGCAATAATTAGTAGGCACACTGTGGGAAACACCTTTTACAACATATCGGATTCTAAAAAGGTCTCACCTCAACACTAACTTGTCTCCGTAAAAAAAAAGAAGGTCAAGAACTCACAGAACTCAAAAAATAAAAGCCCATATTATTTATCCTAAGCCCACAAAAATGTGTCTGCATTCCTCCAACTACAGCCAGATCGTTAAATTGCAATCAGTGGAACTCTTGACACACTGTAAAGACTATAATACAATCAGTCAAAGCCCACTTTCCCTGATCCCGAAACACCTCAAAGCAGACAGACAATGTGCTTCAGCGTGCATGCGAGTATGGCTGGCAGCCGACCGCATTCCAAACCACTTCGCCACTACAAAAGGCAAAGGCAACCGAACGGATCATCTCTTACTCCCAGTGTAAACAAAGCTGCGGTGGTTAATTCATACGGGATCAGGACGGCTCATCTGATGACGTCAGATGCTTTTAATAGCTACTCAGTGCACATGCGTGTATCATATTTAAACAATCCCACTGTATCCATCCCAATGGGACACCTGTTCAACACTCAAACCTTCACTTTTCCACACGTGTAATGTGGCCCATCTTTGATAATGCTACAGAGCATTATATGACTTTTAAAACAATTATTATATTTACATATACATGACGTACATTAGAACTGCTCTGCAGTGACCGTGGATTCTGACACGGTAAGCTAATCTTTACATAGAGTCGGTCTATACATTGGGAATGCGTAGGCTGTGTGGTACCGATGACGAAAATGGTTTCGGCTTGTATGTATCATTTTTTTTAAATTAAATTGTTGCTGATGTCCCAGACTGAATGTGCTTATATGTTCTGTGTTACATTTAATAACTACACAGCCTTACAAAGCCAGAAACACAGTAGCCTAACTAGCTTACATATTTGGTCCAATTTGAGTCGAGACCTGGATCTGTCTTTTTGACGAGTTTTATTATGAAAAATGTATCATGTCAAAGAAACATTTATTCAGTGAAAATATCTGAATTTACTCGGAATGCTGAGCAAGTGGTAAATAAAGAGTTGTATCAAAATAAAGCTAGCTGCAAGTTGAAATAGCCAACGGCTAGCCAAGCTGAATTTACCCATTCTCTTTCCCCAAACTGTTATGTATCTATTTGAATGAACTGACATCTTGGTAATTCAGTTTTTTTTTCTTCAATTGACCTAAATGGGCAGTAGCTAAATCCATTCACGAAGAAGGGGAAAAAACTGCTAACACCTGCTAAAGGTAGCTAACTTAGCAGCTAAAGGTAGCTAGCTTAGCAGCTCTCATTAGCTGCTATCTCATCTTCTAGTAAGTTTAAGGTTCCTTTATTTTACATACTTTATGAAACTGTTAAAGTTGTACATTGATTTTGATAAAAGCTGAACATTAGTTGACAGATAGACAGACACCTTGCTAAACATTGATAGCATAGCTGAAAATACGTATTCTATCCTATGAAGCTGTTATGGCTAACGTGTTAGCAACATCAAATCAAAGAAGCTGAAAGAACACATTCTGCTAGTAGACACAGTGTTTTTCTTTCTTTTACTTCCTGAGGATTAACCAAAGGAAGAGTGCAGTATCTTCATTTTTAAGGTGTTATATAGCGAAACTTAATATCATTTTTTTTCTCAACTTTGGGGCTTGTGTATTTATTGCTACTGTTCTTTGCCTCTGTAGCACGGAGCATGACATCTGAATCGACTAAATGGGAAGGCAAAGCAAGATTATGACTATCTGGACATAGTCTATGTGTTTTATTTTCTACTTATTGTTAATAATGGCACAAGTTCTTTCAAAATAGATCCTATTTTAAAGAAACTCTCCTATGAAACGGAACTATTTCCCTCTACATTAAAGACAATGAGGAAACAGTCAGAGAAACAGACCGTGACTGTCTAAAGTCACCAAACAGTCTCCCTACAGGCCACACGGACACGTTTGTCTTAACTCAGATTAATGAGATTGTGATTCAGACGGAAAAGAGGAATGGAAATATTTGCAATAAGGCAAAACAAAAAATAAACATGCAATGCCAATATCTGTCCTGTTGATTGGGGGATTGTTTCCAGAGCTATAATCAAATGGATAATATCAATGGACTTTAGCAAATTAGACATTTATTTGTAGGAAAATGTCTAATGACTGTATGAATTCCAAGAGGCTTAAAAAGCATAATTCGTCCAACACAACAGCCTCCATTGTGTCGGGTTCATTGATTTTATGTGACAGACAAAATGGCCACCATGAGGCTTTTATTTGGCTTTGACAGCACGCGTATGTGTGTGTGTCTGTGTGCGTGCGTGCACGTTGTGGGAGAAAAGCAACGGATAAAAAAGCATTGAGAGGCAAACCAAGTCTTCCCCTTAACCTCGACTGCAGACATAATAATGTAGATTCACAGTTACAACCCACACAGGCTTCTATGTTTCACTGAGAACCAAAGAACGCTTTAGTTCAAATCTGCAGAAACAACGGATTCACATTCTAGAATGAATCTCACGGCTATTTGCCATAGAAATAAAAAGGTGTACGTTGTATTGATACTGATGTTTCAGTCATGCATTGCAGGGTTTCAGTGATTCACAGTGAGTCATGCATTCTTAGAGTGAGATGATACACATACGCCTTAAATTAGAGAAATTAGCTAACACTTAGTTCAAATTAGATGTTTCCTGCTCCTGTCATCACAGAAGAGTTGTGTTTTTTACCTTCACCAATGTGGGTTTTTAATTTTTTAATTCCTCATATAAGTATAAAATGTTACTTAATTTTTGTCCTTTTGTGCTTGCGTTCATTAGGGAAATCATCTTTTAATTTTCCACGAATCCTCTCCAACAATGACTAATTTTTAGCCTTTTTTTTAAGTTCAGAGTGTATCCAGCTCAAAGTGTACCTGGGTCTGCGTCAGGCCCATTTTGGCCGCCAGGTCGGCCCTCTCGGGCAGGGCGAGGTACTGGGTCTGCTGGAAGCGCTGGTTGAGGGCCTGGAGCTGCAGGCTGGAGTAAATGGTGCGAGGCTTCCTGATCTTCTTGCCCTTCCCGTTCAGCCGCACCTCCCCGTTCTCGATCACCGCCGTGGGCTTCTCGTGTTCTGGAGGAGAGGAGCGAGATAAATGTCAACACAGGGGTTTCTGTGGGGGACAGAATTTTACACAGAGAGTACCAGACACCGTAATACAGCAAGAAAAACCCCAAAAACATCAGTCACAGTGTTTCATCTCACGCGTCCTTCAACAAGAAACTGAACCTCTTTTTAAAATGTCTTCGCTTGTTATCTACCGACAAGTTTTGTGACACATTTTTAGCTTTTTGTGCCTTTTTTCCTCATCATGTGTGGTTTTGTTTTTATGATTGCTTATGAACAACATTTCTATCCCATCAAAACAGTTACGTAACATGTCAGTACTATGTAGATATAAAAGAAAACCAGAAATCCATTTCTCTGTTAGAGTGTAAACAGCAACATTCATTCATTTCACAGGACATTTGTACGTCTGTTTAAAAAAACAACAAAAAACCATAAAGGAACACTCAGGCTCAACCGTTTACAGCAAAGCAGTTCAACTCATCTAGGATTCAACCACAAAACGGAATCAAACTGCGGTGTCAGCAGTGGGCGAAAATCTGAATTTGAATGTTTCAAAACATAGAATTTGTAAAATTCTGCGACAACGAAACAATCCTGTGAGAACATATGTTGGTGGATTTAAAATGCCACGAAGTGCAATTCAGTGTCATGAAATATGATGTCACGAGTGTAATGAAAAGATGAATCCTCTTTTTACTTTCGGCCCGGCCGAGACAACTTCTTTCACTTTTTTTTTTCTCTCTCTCTGTACAACCGTGTCCGTCCGCCCACGCTGATCTCTGTTATGACATGAGCTCATAGCCTGCAGTGGCAGGAGAGAACAGCTGTGGACGAGCCGAGGGCCCCACAAGACGCTCGGGTTCTGTAACAGAGACGCGAGGGACGGCAGCGCCGCGACACCGAAGGGGGCACAAAGGGCACTCCGAGATGGGCCACTTTTTTTGGAAAAGAAGATGTGAGAGTGTACATTTTCTGACCAGCACGACTGTGTTTTTAACCCGTGTGTTTTGTTGGCTTTGCTTCATTGTTTAGGGTCCTTCAGACCACCCTGCTTGTAAAATAAACCATTGATTGATTTTTTATTTTTCTATGGGTCTTACCTTACAAACATGTAGAGAGGTATTTAAGTGGAGCCCCCTCGCAAGAAACTACAGAAATAACCATATTTGTTTCTCTAAAGGTTCTTCACAGACAAACGGATGAGTGTTCAGTTGGACACCAGCGTTTGACTTGATAACCGTTATAAAACTCCAATAAGAGAAATTGAATTAATTTATTTGGGAACTGGGAGCAGTGCTGCATGTAAAGTACTGCGCTGTCGACGCCACTCCCAAAGAATATGATCATCTATCGTGTTTAATGTTTCACAGCTGACGGAAGTAATGCAGCATTTTCTGTTGCGGACTTCTGAAATATGTTGTCAGTTCAAAGTGAAGCAACGTTTTTGCAAGATTAGAAAATTGGAGTATAATTGTGATAAAGCAATATCAAGTGTGTTTCTTGTGCTGGGGTCTTTTTGTTATTTCTAGTAACGGCACTTTATTTGTCGAGATGAGCTGAGAACGCCAGTTGAAAGTGCTGAGGCTTTCACTCACTATTGATCATATAAAAAACGTTCTGAAAGAAATTTTGAATTTAACTTTGAATAAAATGATTTACAGTCGTAGATATAGAAACAATGGAAATGGCACAAATTTGATTTGGGATGACATCACTTTACGTAAAAATAAATAGACGATTATAGTTTTGGTTTCTGCTCTATTGAAATGTATAAATGTGTAACAATATTTGTACATCCGTGAACTGTTCTATAATATTTTGACTGATTATCACTAAAGATTTGTTTTTTATAGGCACCGTTTTTCTTGTATTTTGGCTGCGTGGCAACTTTACACTATTTTAAATTAACAAAATAAGAAGTCAGACTTATTACTGAGTTTGTGCTGAGGCCGTGCACGTGGAGTAGAAGAGGAAAGAAAAAGACGTGTGCTTCAGTCCAATATTTCTCTAATTGAATATGTAAACAAGGTGTTATAATAATAATAATTATTATTATTAGCAGTAGTAGTACATGATCAGGCTCTACATCTGTTAACAATAATGTAACATGTTTGACGATTGACAAGCAGCCACTTCCGGATCGCTCTTCTTCACTACCAATTATCAGAACAATGAAGGATCTAATAAAACAAGTGAATCATATCAACGTAATGATTTTTTTGTTGTTGCATTTTTTTAAAAACGCAATGTCACTTTCTTAAAGACATACGCCATCAGACATAAAAGTATATATTTAAATGGCTGGTCCGTGAATTAAAGTCATCGTTATCTCTCACAGCCGGGAAAGGTTGAAAAGTAACCTTAAAAAAAAAATGGATTATTAAAATAAACAGTTTTGTCTCAAATGCTATTGGTGTGGTATTTTATTTAGAAAGAAATACAAATCTATAAAATACAGAAAGTATTTCTGGTTCAATTAACTTTAAAAATATATATTTCTGGTCATCTTGTTTGATTATTATTATTACTACTATTATTACTACAGGCCTCTTGGTGTGTGTGTGGAGCAGCATAGGGGCGGATGTTATCCGGGAGAAGATGGGCTGAGGGTTTGGGTTCGGAGGGGCCGCAGCTCCCGGGCCGCTGCGGGACACCGCAGGCCCGGTGTCGGCTGCTGCTTGTGGAGAGTCGCACGGTCTCCGCGGGCCTTGAACTCATCTCCCGACCAACCCCAAAGTACACTAAACACGGCGCTGTGGCCGAGCTGTGTGTGGATCCAATTATTCTGCTCCACTGTGGTTCATTTTTATGTTTTTCTTTTTACACCATAGAAACCATTTCCACCATTATATATATGAAACATCTGTGAAGAATAATCCCCCCCCCACCCCCCGGGATTTCTCTTAAATTCAGTTTGTGCGTATTGATGCATTTAAGGTCTTCTGTGATAGTGGAAGCAACATCATTTTAACTTGAGCCGTTTTTTTAAGGCGACACAAAGAAATATATTAAAATGTAAAAATGCGGGGCCAATTAAAATATCACAAGTCACGTCCTAATGAAACAAATGGTTCTGATTGGCTAAGAGTTCTCCCCTTCTTTGTTTTCCTTTATTTTCTTGGAGATCTGTCAGCTCCGACTCAGCGGCACCCGAGAAACCGTTACACAAATGAGCGATGTCCACAAGGTCATTAAGCCCATGTTTAGTAAATATTTACAGGATCGACCACTGAGCACGCTGTAGATGTAACAGAAAAATGTGCAAAATATTTTATGAAACGTCCTTTTATCAAACCTACCCGCATCATCCAGTCTGCTGTGTCCAAGCGCACCGCCGTGACCCCCGTGCTGATAGGGCAGGTAGGCACCGTGGTGGTGCGCGCTCACGGTGCTGTGATAGGCCGGGTATCCCAGCGGGCGACCGTACGAGGCGGCACCGGAGGAGAAGGGTCCGTCGTGCTGCGAGGGGCCGACCGCGTGCAGACCGTGGACCGGGTAATGGTTGTGGGACAGGCCGGGGGACGGCTGCTGGTGTCCGGGGTAGCCGTGGCCGCCGAACTCCAAAAACGCCGATTTGGAGGGATCAGGCTGGACCAAAGAGTCCGATATAGAGCTCATAGTCATCATTGGGGAGATATGCAAGGGATGTGGTGGGAAATGAGAAAAGGGGTCAGCTACGACCTCCAGGCGGGGGTCATCATGAAGCAACCCTCCATCAATATAAAAAACGGTCTGTAGACTTTAAGAGACGTGTTCAAGTTCCCAAAAACCAACAGCAGCTTAAAAAAATGTCCTTTACCTTCGACTAATGTCAACACACTCCTGCTGAATGAATTAAGCGGCTTTAGGTATGTTTGCCCTCCGCTACATCCCCGCTGAACGGTCCTCAAACGCGACGCTCTGTGTTTGATAGCATTGAGGCGGACGATACGCAGGACGGGCTGTGCAGCACAGACTCGATAAGAAAACAACAACAGGAAGTTCCGACAAAAAAGGGCCGTTAAACTGATTTTTAATATCCTTCCAGTCGGATTATCCTCCTCCTTCTTCTCCCTCCAAAACAACCCGCCTTTAGATGCTCGTTTCCTCCCGTGTTGTGAAGAGGCGTGTGGCGGCCGAGTGTGTTCCTCCTCTTCCTCGGAGCGCACTGTGAGTCTGCATCGAACATTCTCTGCCTCCCACTTGGCGCGCACACCGCGCGCTCATTGGCTGCAGCGCCTTCGCCGTGTCACGCGAGTCAAACTAATGACAATCTAGCGCGAGCGGTGGACCCGGCTCCTCTCGGGTGTCTTTTTTTTGGGCGGAGAGCGAAGGCCTTAATGCCCGCATTAAAAAAGAAATCTGAAGGGAAGAGCCAGTTTAACCATTAAAATATAATTTAGCGAGTGTGAAAATCTGGACCAATGAGATGTTCAGTGGCCTTCAAGGCCGTCGTTTTTTTTCAAATTAAGTAACTTCAGACAATTGAGGACAATAATATAAATGGAGATGACTGCAAAAATATTAGCTTTGTTGCTTTGTTACTATGATGCATCAACATTGTGATTTTATTAATGCGGAGGTAAATGACCTGTGGTTTGCTTGAGTCTACCTTTGCATCATTATACAAAATATAGACACGTCTAAAGAAGTGAAATTATATTAGAAAAAACCCAAAATTAATTGTGCTGTCACGCGGACAGTATAGGATATATTTTAAAATGATAATTCATCAATGCCGTGCGTCATGATTTCATAAAAAAGGGGACATTGGCAGGTTGGCTCATGAAACGCATCGCCCTTCCAAAATAAAATTCTTGCTGCTTGCCAAAGGCAAAATAAGGCGGATCAGACCAAAGTATCTTCATAAACTGCTGTTGAAAGGCCGCAGACCTTATTATACAATTATTATTTTAATGAAACCCACACGTATTCTCTTTCACAAGACTCCACACTGTGTGTTCTATTTATCTCTTTCTTTTTTTTCCGGGGGGGGGGGGTCATAATGAAGCTGAAGCGACGAGACCTAATCACGTAAAATCACGTTAATCGAGATCAACGTGATTTTACGCCATAGAGTACAACACACACACACACACACACACACACACATACTGAGGGCACTGCCTGTGGTCCCGCACGAGGGAGAATTACAACAAACATCGGCCTTCTCGAGAAACTCCACGTTGTGATTTTGGCAGAGCGGAGGCGCGGACACTGTAATTTCACTCAGGTCGGTCATTACGCTCATCTGCGGTGGAAATCCCTGACAGTGGGCCCCGCTCTCAAATTAAACCTCAGCATTACCCACACAGATACAGGATGATGTAGCATGAAGTCATCTCCGTGGAACTGATCGATTTCTTTTCTTCTTTTTCACATAACGTGCTATTTTACGTGTAGGCTATTAATGGGATTTATTAGTCTGCGGTGTAATGCGGGCCATGTGGCGCGATATATGTAAACACCTTTATAACCGAGTCAAGCCTCGGCTAAATGTATACTTTTATTATACTAAATTCCCTTTACTTCCGGTCACAGTGTGAGGAAATCAGCAACATTTGGAACCCATCGTTACCTTTTGTATAACACTGCAATTAACACGAGATGCAGTCTGACCTGTAGCCTACAAACGTTGCGTCGGGTGTGAAAAAAAGCACACAGGCGTCCCACCACGGAGTCACGCCGTGGTAGTGGGAGTAGGCCCTACTAGTGCTCAGCTATTATAGCAGATATTCATGTTCCGCACTGTGGTGCAATTTCGAGGAGTATTTTTTATTTTATTACTTCACTACATTTCAGGAGAAAATATTCCAGTTCTACCAAAGTATCACATATTTCACAAAAAACAACGTTAAAAAAATAATATATGTATGGATGTATATATATATATATATGTATATGTATGTATGTGTATGTCTGTATATGTATGTAGGCCTATATGTATGTGTATGAATATGTATGTGTATGTATATGTATGTATGTATATGTATATGCATATGTATGTATGTGTATGTATATATATGTATATAATTGTATATATATATGTATATATATATATTTGAATATATATGTATATATCAGTGTATATATACAGAGACACAAATTTGCGTAACAAGTTTCTTCTTCTTAGGGCCCCACAGATGTATCTCCTGCCCTCCAGAGGTTGCCCGACCCATAGGTCTATATGCTAATTAAAGTACTTCAAAGTAGCTGCGCCTCAACCAACTACAGCAGAAAAATGCTGCTTACACATGAATGCCTATTTAATCTGAATATAAGATAACATATCAGCCACAGCAGCCATTATTCTACATATTGTGTATCCTTTTATTTTTTTAACGCTCCAACTACGGTCAGCTGATAATACCTTTTATTTAAGAATGGTTGCGCACGCAGGACGTTTACTTGCAATGAAGTATTTTTTAACGTACTTAATAAGTAAAGGATCTGAATACTTAATAATGCATCGCAGCTCCTGGACGATTTCATCCTACCAGCTTGAGGTAAAAGGAAGGCTCTACGGACGTTTTTAGACAGGCCCCCCGAGGCCTGCGGGTCCCTCTTTAGTCACTAATCTTGGTTTTGACAGCGCTCTTTAAAGGCTGTGCTGTCACTCTGACCAGCCACGCACACACACACACACACACACACACACAGAAATAAAAAGTTATTTTAGTCTCTAAAATGCCTATTGTTGTGCCATAAACGTTGACCGAATTGAATGTGAAGAATAAACCAGGTACTCCCTTCAGCATTATGTTGAGCAGCTTTGACGGCATCACTTTTGTCATGACAACTGGAAAAGATAATCATTAGAACACACTGTGGACAAAGAGAGAGAGAGAGACAGACAGACATAGAAAGAGAGAGAGATGTTTTGGCATGTTTCCTTCTGGTTTCTCTCCTCCTGCCTCTAGGATCTGTCTTATTATACCAACAGGCTGATGTGCGGAGAGTTATTACACATCGCAGGCCACGCTCCCGCTTTCATCCGCGGCCAACATTCCTCTCCTCCCTGATTTCACCTCTGTGAGCACCGGGCACACCCTCCTCGCTGTTTCAGCGCTGTTATTTAGAGGCACGGTTTTGCTATGTTGTCAAAATGTCTTGCTTTTTTGCCCGTATTGAGGAAGGCAAAGCGTACAGTTTGGCGGGGATGGCAAGGGTATCCAAGTATCCAATGGGTACCAAGTTGACTTCAATCTTAGTCCCGGGAAAAGTACTTGACCTGGAATATAAAATCCTAAACATGAAGAATTCTTCTCCAATCATTTGTCAATGAAAGCAATTGCAAGACTTCATAGCATTTACGCATCATCTCATTTAACATGATATGGATGAATTGTTCTCTATGCTAACACCTCTGATTCAGCAAGTAACACAAGCTAATGACTGTGTTCAAACAAGCTCACAGATTATTTATTTTTTTGGCCTGCGGTGAGGCAATTTGTCATCCGACGTCAAGGGGAGATGAGTTACTGTCCAACAGCAAGAGACGGAGCTCAACCACGGGAGCTTGTGGGAACACATGCAGGTCAATTTACACCTTCAGGGGAGAAAGAAAAAGAAGATGGCATGGAGGAGGAGGATGGAGGAGGAACAGGAAGATGACGAACAAAATCAGACCATTTCAATGAGTTTAAAGTGATTTTTTCAAAATGTATTAATATTTATTTTGGATAGAAGTGATTCCCGGGTTTGTCCCGTGGCTAACAAATTCTGAGCAAAAGGTGTTGTGATAGAAAGCTACGCTTTGATGTGTAACCAAAGCCTGATGAATCTTTTAATCTGCGTCATAGAGCTCCATTGTTGTAATAAAATACAAAACCGAACAAAAAACCATCAAAACTACACTGAGTATGTAGGATTGAGTCTGCTGCCAGAAAGCTCATAGTTTATATACGCTTGACACGCGGGAGACGTTCTGCAACCCCGCTAGTTGGGACCAAATCCTACACGCTGCACGCTTAAAGAATGCCCTGGCCACTCATCCTATATCTGATTGGATTAAACCTCACAATGTTCAGTCTCTGCTCTATAATAATATTATTATATGGAAAAATATCTCATGATTATATTGTTCTTAAATAACAATATACAAGATTTGAATGAATAACCTAATATAATGTATGATTTGGAGTTGTCCATACGGACACTTGGCAAGAGCAAGTCCAATATTCACTCTCTTTTTTAGCTCTGTTTTGGTCTCCACCAACTCCCCATGGAAATATCTGGCTCTTTAGCTGCTAAATGCTTCACTGTGTTCACCCGCTAGTAGCTGACTTTGTTTATTCTGCTCTTTGGTGATGGTCAGTTAGTGAACAGTGTTTTATTTTCCTAAAGCTGGCTGCTGCTGCTGCTTTAAACAGGTTGATAAGGGCTGTGAGAGAGAACCACAACAGAAAGACGAGAGTTGCTAAAACTCCTAGTAGAGCTGAGGGGAAGTGGGGAGTTGGAAGATAATTATTTTTCACTATAGGTGACCTTTTTTATTTTACATACAGTTATTTGACCCATTGCTGATATAAAAATATTGATTAGAGCAGCTTTAACATAATATCTATCAATCTAGCCCCTTCAACTCATTCGTAGATAGGTCAAATAGATGACAGATGAAACGACAGCCTAATTATACTCATCATAAATGAAGTTCTATATTCTACTTAGTACAGTAAATTTTGACCAACAGCAATACTCAATAACACATAATGTGGTTGTGAGGTGAATGTGTTCTTTGACTGTTCTTTGAGAATTATATCACAACAAAAAAGCATTTTCACTCAAAGCAAACCAAAAATGATCTCCTTTCTATAACCTCCGTCCTCTTCGAGACTATATGACGACAAGGAGGGATGAGGAAGGGCAAGAAATGTCAAAAGGTTACACCCGCTTCGACTGAGATGACCAGGTTCTCAGAGTTGATACTGTAAATTATTGACATGAAAAGTGTAACAAAGTGCACCCATTTGTTGAATAGAAGCAGGACCGGTCAGCTGTTTCGGAGAGGTTGCATGCTCCAGTTTAGCCAGATTCTCTAATCCAACTACTTCTGGGTGACACCTAAAGTGACCACACCTGAAATGTGGTCACTTTATGATCAAACGCTGGA